GCAAGGAACAGCCTCTTCCAAATTGACACCTGAGACATCATTAGCCATAAGAAGACCACTGTTTGGTTGCCAATGTTGTGGAACAACATTAGCAGTGGCCTTTAAGACCCCAAGACATTTCAGAAATTCGTTTGCACAACATTTTGAAAATAAATATGTAGCTAAGACAGCTGTCAGTTAATCTTTATTACCTTGCCACTTGGATTTTGTTCATTGCGGGCCCACTTCCACAGCTTTTGAGTACCATTTGAACCAAGTGCCAGGACACCAACACCAGAATTTGTATAAAGAAGCCGTGCAACCTAAATACAAGTGCCAGTTGAAGGATTACATGTTGAATCACATTACAGAAGAAGTGCACACAAATGAGATAACGCACCTTGTTACTTGAATCTGAGCTCTCAGGCATGGTAACCATCCTGCATTGAGCTTGATCTAAAATTTCAGTCAACTGCCAAGGTTTGGCCTTATCTGAAACATCCTCCAATATTCTTGGTTTCTCCATGCTTCTGGGCACAGAATCAACTCCATTCTGCAAAGAAAGTCGGCAGAATAAAAATTTATCCGAGGATAAATTCACTAATTTGTAACACTAGCAAATTCAGCAGTTCAAGAATACAGAATAACAAGGTTTTTCAAGTTACAGTACGGCGGATGCAAGTTAAAGAACAAATTAGACTACTTGCACAGAGGACTAGAATTATAGGCAACCTCTTATCATACACACAATGTTAGAAGCCAAAATATTCTCTTAGTAACAGATTGTGGGACTACCATCATTCATGCAGACAAGAAAGACTAAACTGAGAAAGAAAAAAAATTGAAATAGCACATACAAGGATGGGAGAAGGCCTGACAGGAGAGCTTCTTTCCACTTTACAATTGATAGGAGTAACATTTGGAACAGAAGAGCCAGAAGCCTGCTAAAAAAAGGCAAGGAGATCGTTTACTTTTAACATAACAACTATGCGCAGACTAAACAGGAGAAGCAATCAACCATCAATACCTTAATAGCAGCTGCTTCAATGGGTGATCTTAGTGCTTCAAAAGGTGGGGCTTCAACTGTCCTTAAGGATCTCATACCAGCAGCATTTCCCAGTATCTTAATCCCATTGTCAGCAGTAGTAACAGCAAGAAGATTTCCCTCCTTGTTGAATCTCAAGCGCGGAAGACTCTGCAACAACCACCAAATTTACAGCCATCTTTAAACTATTCTAAATATTCAAGGGAAAGTTCCAATTTGCTTTGTAGCTTTCATTTTCATTTTCTTTTTCTTTTTGTGGTGTATCTAGGAGATGGTTGCTCAAATGAAACTATAGAACTGGCATAAGCACTAACCGGGAGACCACCATCTGCATCTATAGTTGTAAGAATGTTAATGCTGTCCATGTCCCAAAATTTTATCTGGCTATCTTCACCCACAGCCAAGAAATGATTCTGAGTAGTGTCAAACTGCACAACACCAGCTGATTTCTTCCTAAACCCAGTATAAGTCCTCTTTATGGCTCCTTCACTTTCATTCCATTCCACAAGAAAAGAATCACCTTCTTTACCAGTTCCACACGAGAACAATCTACGAAAAATCAACATCAGACAGTTAATAAAAGTCACTGGAGGCACAGAATACTTATAAAGACCAACATACAGTAAATAATGGTTTCTCCTGCAACCCTACCTACTACCATCAGCACTATAAAGCATGGTGGTACACCAATGACCAGGAGCATCATAGTCAACTCGAGATCCCATATTGTCATACAGCCAAGCTTTTATTTTCCCATCTATAGCAGTAGAAAAAATGAACTGCATATAGAAATAAAAAAAAAGGGACGTCATTTGAGGTGCAGTAAATGCAAACACCACTAGTAAGCAAGTAAACACCTGGAAATACAGCCTTAACGTACTTTTCAAATAAAGTTGATTTAGTATAAGGAATTTCCGTCTAAACATAAAAATAAATGCTAATATGTTATCTATATTTTCAGAATCATAAGCAACTACTGCTCAAATATATCATAGTATCTCCAAATGCACCCAGGTACAGAAAGTGCACCCATACCTCATATAGAAAGATTGAGATAGCCAATAGTTTCTCAGGTGGTACAGTGAACCATCAGCGCTAAAATAATTTACATTTGACTAATTCTGCAATCTATTTGTGCATAGAAGCCCATCAATGGACAGATTGATGCAGATTCAGATGAGTGGTATGGGCTTACAGAAAGATGATTGTATCCTCCCTGGACTTGCATGGAAATTTTACCAAAACCCTATTAAGTGTTTTTCAGTTTCCACCAATAACTATATGGTTTGTTCTCTTTCCTAGCACATTGAATCTAGAATAAAATAAACAGGTTGCATGATGGTGACAACTGAGTAATTAAACAGAACCGCTTCCTTCAATGTGACAACCATTTGTGATGACTCTATAAAAGGTAAGAAGAATGCCAATGAATGTTACCTAGCAGTAGCAACAGTAAGCAGTTAAATTTTTACCCTATTTTAAGCAGAACTCTGCACCTAATTTTGTTAAATTTTTCAAATACCAGGGAGTGGGTTAGTGAAATGTTATTCAATGCAAGTTTTTCCATATCTGAAAATACCTGAATGTTCTCCTTCTGATGAGGGCATATGGAGTATACAGGAGCTTCATGTCCTTCAAAATTAAAAAGCTTTCTTCCTGTTATATCCCACACCTGTTTCAAAATTTTCATTCAGCATTTTCCTAAACGAGTTTGGAATTCCAACTGTAATAATGAAGCTTCTGATGTTACCTTTATCAACTTATCATCTCCACATGTTACTACACATAACTGCTTGTTTGGATAAGCGAATGCTAAGTCATTGACACTCCCAGCATGCGCATCCATCTTAAATCACAAGGGTGCAGGCAAGAAGTTAAGAGTTTTAGCTTTTAAGTTTGCCAGAGCATATGTTTCCACTTATTCAAAGAAGAGGGCGGAAAAAACAGCAGAAATATCTACCTCCAAATGCTGGCGTAAATCACTTCTTCCAATAGTGGCATACAGATGGACCAAATGCTTAGAGAATGCAACTCCTGCAATACAAAGTAGAGTTATAAACATCCACAAGAACATCTACAAAAACAAAAATAAAGAAGAGCACACACCAACAAAGGTCCCATCTGGACTCCACGCAACACGGCTTACAGAAAATGGTGCATCTTTGGCAGCAGAAGCCTGTGAAAACTCTCAGTTGTCAGGAACGAAAAAAAGTATATAACCATTCGAGAAATCTTAAAGACATCAAACCAAAGGGTCAACCACAGCACTACATATTTGTGAAGAGACTAGTCTCTCAACTTATAGAAGAACTGAGAGTTAATTTGAATTTACAACCATATGCCAGATAAAAGAGAAACCATATTGAAGAAAAAACTAAAAGCCAAAGCTTGTATGTTTCTTTCACTTCCAGAGAATCAAGTTTTGAAGAATCTTGTATCGATTAACCTGAAATGTCAGAGTACAAGCTTGAATATCCCATATTTTAAATGCTTTTGAAACCAACTTCTCTCGCATTGCGACTTCCCAAAGCGTTATTTCACCATTGCTGGATCCAACTGTTCATAGCAAACTAGAAGTTAGAAGAAGAAGATATCTTTAACAGCAATGAGTTTTATCGCTGCTGTTCACACGGACACAGAAACAAAAGGAATACATGGACAGAAGATCTTAAACATTTATATACCGAGGAGCAGTGTGTGATGAGAAGGATGAAAGTCCATGCTAGTGACTGAGGATCCTTGCTGCAGAGTAAAAGCTACTGTCCTTGGTAAGTCATCGAGGGACCAAGAAGCTTGCTGACGAACTGTAGGATATGTAACCTGAAAGGAAAGAAGAAAAACAAAATTTAATGAATTTGATATGATCTGATAAGATGATACTAATAAATTTGAGGGTGAATTCAGCAGGAGGAAAACAAAAAAAGAAAATATATCATTTAACGGAAGATCCATCTTCAGCAATACCTCCTCAACAGACGGTGCAGGTCGTAAACGTTTCATTAATTGCTCATGATCAGCATTCTGATAGTCAAGCATACCTAATGTAGCTGGAGGTGTGATGGGACGCTTCAAAATTGAAACTGTTCAAGAGCACAAAATACGGTGAGCGGAAGTGGAATATCATCTCTGACAGACCAAATACTCATAGTAGTATCAGTTGTCTGCTTGACTGCTTTATGTCCAAACAAACTAATCCGAAGCATTCAAAGTTACATTTTGCAAGATCTTGAGTTCAACTCTTTAGAAGGCAAGCAATGCAGTTCTCGAACACATCAAATTTGGACCCACTTTAGAGGCATCAGATTGTTGATGAAGCATTTTCATCCTCAGGCAAACAAGAACTACTATTCTTTTTTTTTTTTTTAATGAAGTGGGTAAATTAAGAGCTACTATTCTTTCTTCCAGCCCGTTATTTGGAACTTCATTACGATTTATATGTTGAAATCGATGTTTAATTATTGACTAGAATACTATTGACATGCATTCTAGCATATTGAGAAATTTGCTAATCGAACTACACAGTAACTTTTCTTGGCCTCTCAAAACTCATGTTGTTCTTGTTAAGTGTTAACAAATATTTAAAGCATAATCAAAGGTATCCACTGAAAGTCAGGCCCCTAGTCGTTCAAAGAACACTAGTTAAAACTCGCCTTGATTTGGTGGAACAGGCAGGGATGATGCTGTCACAACAGCTGCTTGGACAGATGAAGAAGCAGCGGCATTTGCCATCCAACCTGCTAAAGCATTGGCATTTGCAGCTGCTGCTGCTGCGGGTGGAAAGGGCTGCAAGCAACAAATTTAAGTACATGATTGAACCGAGCGAGACGAGCAACGGTGTCATTAAGTAAAGAATAAGTTAAAACCAAAATTATCATAACTAGAGAAAACACAAAGAATCGTACCCCATGTGCCCCAAGTGATGTAAAAGCAGCAGGTTTTGCAACAGCTGCAACAGGAAGATTAACAGGTGCAGGTGCAACAGCCCCATTTGGAGGAGTGCATGTATGGTCTGTAAACAGTGTCTTAATGTCAGGGTTTGGCCTGGGGTTCTTACAAAGCTGGTGCTGCCAGTTGAGACTGCAGAAAATGGCAAAGTGAAAGATCAAATTAGAACACACAGTTCCAAGAAACTGCCAAGATGAAAAGCAAAATATTCAATCCCAAGAAGCATACTACAGGTGACCTTTAGACAAAAGACAAGAAAGGTATTAATCACGAGAAGTATACATGTGAAAAGACAGCACATCTTGGTTATCTTGCAATATAAGAACTAAGTCAAGTCGTTAAGATCATCTTATAGAGTGGCACCATCATCCCCTCATTGTACTTGAGAACTAAAGGAACTCGAAAGCCAAAAAAGTAACGAAAGGTTATTGACAATATTCTTGTTAACAAGGGAGAAACAACTGAAACATAAGACCAATTGCATCCCCCATGCATGTTTGTTGACTCGATTATGGAGAAAATTAGCATGATTCAGTCATCTGCTGAGGCAAGGAGCTGTAAAGCCAATAGAGCCCAATAAAAAGTTCACAAATGCCAGCATGTTCATCGAGCAGTCAGCACTAAAAATTTTTGGCGATGTAAAGAAGATAAAATCTAGAAGCTGATATTATCCTTCTTGATACTTTAGCATTACAAAAACAAAAAAAAATCTTCACCTTTGATTGATTAATGTACGCAATCTTGAAGATCTCAAAGTCGGAAAGACGAGTTTTTCACGGAAAAGAGGATTTGCTTCGATCAATTTCTTTAGCTCTATCAACATTATGCTACGAGCTGTCTTGGTGTCACCATACTTCGAAAGCTGCTCGTTCTCTCTGAAATCAGGTAATCAAACAAGTTATTCAGAAGGTCGTTACTTGACTTATGTCGAATTGCTAAAACTCACTTCAGGAAAGATAAAGATCAAGCATTGAGAAAGAAAGACTACACAAACTGAAATAGTCATTCTACAAGCATTCGGCACGGATCCTAATTCACAGAAAACCTATAGGCTCAAAAGAAATTCCAGCAACTCAACAACTCAATATGCAGCTTCGAGCCTTAGGAAAAACACTCAGAGACGGTTTTCTTATAAATATACATGTAGTCAATATCCTAGAAGCCTTAGATCTCAGACAATCTACGGGTAAGCATGCAGAATAATACCAAACTCGGCATTTTGCCCTCCTATCTCGAAAGTTAAGTCTACAATTTACTTCCTATCTGGTTCTTACAGAACAGGAAAAAAAATGTGACCGAAAAGAGAACCCCTGTAAATATTATGGTAAATTAACATTTAAAAGGTACATAGAACAAAAACTTTTCATTTTTCTGCATAAGAGGGACTGATCAGGAAAGCCAAGAAGTAAAAAGAAGACATTCAATATAAGAAACCAAGAATATTACCCTCTACCTCATCTATAACAACCTTACCTCCATAGTACTACATGATGAGGCGAAATTTATTGCAACTACAGTTGACTTATTATTCATTAAGGGAGCATAGAACTACCTTTGTGCATTTATGATTGAACATAAGGTCGTACTTTTCATTTAATTCCACGTTTTGACATATATTTATCTTCTTATCTATTCCTCCCAATAAAAGTTTAATTGTTTATTCTGAAACCTTTCCCAGTTGAGATACTAATAAATGCATTTAGTTATTAGGTTTTCACTACAGTCGAATTAAATCGCACAATTAATTTCCAAATCTGGTTCAAATTCAAGCATATGAACTTCCACATTGCAAAAAGTTGACAACTTCTCTAGATTGACTGTAGAGAGGACAGTCCATCAATCAAGGAACATGATCAAACCAGCAATTGAACCAAGACAGAGAAAGTGGACCTTGATTATTGGTCCTTCTCGAGAGGCCAGGGAGCCATTTCGAGGACATTACCAGTCATACCATGGCTTTAGAAAAGAAATATATTCGACCACATGAGAACAACATCTAAGCTTCCACCTAACAGGCTAATTTTTTCAATTTTTTACTCTACAGGACTGAATTAACGGTTACAAAGTGTATTTACTACAACTCCACCAAGACGGTAAGAGAAACAACTAAACCGTAATCAGTCCTCAAAGATTGCCAGATCTCACAACTGCCACCAATGTGAATTTGGAGCCTCAGTATGCAGCAATTACAAGCCTCTTATGAATGCAAAAGCCTTTTAATTTTATTCCCTCTCGTTCTCTAATCATAAACCTTTTACCAATGCACAAGCAATTTCTTCTTTCTACGTGGCTATGCATGGATATTCTTTTCACGTAACATGAGAAATAGCTACCTGAAATTGGTAAGTGTCAAGAGCTGAGTGATCTCTTTGTAAAGGTCCTCATTGAATGTAGAAAACACTTTCAAATCATTCACAAGAATCTCAACTGCCTTTGCCTTGTCTTGCCTAAGATGACAACACACCATGCAAAAGAAAAAAAAAAGTTCAAATCAGAGCCATACTTGGTGGAAATGTATCAAAGGCACGGTAAAGTAACAACAGGGACATACCGATCAAGAGCTTCAAGATATTTCTGCTTTCTTATCTCAAAAAATATTTTCATTGAGTATCTGTTGTCATCAACTTTAGTAAATCCAGACAGGTACTTCTCAACTTCATCCCATTCACCTGCATGTACTTTCTCCTCGAAGTATTTCATATTGAAGAAAAATCCTGATTCTTGCTCTAACCTGCGAACAAAATCATACATTTTTTTAGAGAGGTTAATCACAAGCACAGAAATTCATATAAAAGTAAAGGCAACGTTTTCACTTTTCACACACTTCTAAATCGATACCAACCAAAAAAGACTAGAAATTGAAACACTCTTTGCAATTGAAGCTAGAAAAGTTTTAATTTTTGATAAAGATATAATGATACTAGAAAGTTATCAATCCGCACACAAATCTATTTATGAACTTTTAACCTCATCATTTCGTTACTTCATTTCCAAGAAGCATAAAATAAGCAACAACGAAAAATTAAAAATCGGTCGCACATTAAATGTATCTCATTAAGTCTGCACAAGAATTTTACAAAAATAAAAAACAAAAACCAACAGAAAAATTTAAAAAGAGGAAAAATCAAACCGAAAAAAAAACAGACCGTGCAAAAACTCACAGTACAACTAGCTACATCAAGTGATTTTTCTTTTCCTTTTTTCCTTTTTTAGATAAATTACCAGAACAACCTCAAAAACTAAACACATACTTAATTCTTTAGTTTTCAGTTTCAAGGAGAAAAAAGTTTTCACTTTCAAGCACCAAGTAAAAATAGTAAAAACACATAGATAACATGATAATAAAATCCAAAAAAACACATAGATGTGTGTGAGAGAGAAAGAAACACAAAAAAAATTAAAAAATTGAAAATAAAAAAGAACATACTTGTGAACAGACTCCTTAAATTTCTCCTCTTCAAGGAACTGGAGTATGAGGAACACCAATTCTCTGCTGAGTGAAGACATTTTAATCAAATAATCTCCGATCCCACAACTCCGCAGATCTAAGCCCTAGATATCCACACGCGCTACAATTTCTAGGGTTTCAGCTCTTCCTCTCGCACCAAAAACAATTAAAAAATCGCTGCTTGATTTTCAAAGCCAAAGAGAAGAGAAATTATATGTAGAGAGAGAAACAATGGCTATGGCTATAGAGAGAGAGAGAGGGGTAGAGAGAAGGGGGAGGAAGGGGGTCTATTTGTAGTGGGGGAAAGAGGAGTAGAGAAGATGGAAATGAAGGTTGGGGGGGTGGGGGAGGACTTGGTCTCGCTATCTTCGATGCGTTTATCAGTACCCTATCTTTTTCTACTGACCTATCAGTAATAAGTTTTGTTGCTTATCATTTCTGTGAATAAGTGGTTGTGATAAGCAGTACTGGTTATCGTAGTACTTGGGTTTGCGTATAGATAAGGAGAATGTGACTGGAGTTGCGGATTTGAAATGGGGAGTTCAAATGGAGTTGAATATTCGGGTTGAATTACGAATTCCCGTCGTGGGTTACGTGTGTTATTTGATGAGAACCAGTACTCTTGTTTCGGTGGAATTTATTTCCTCCTCTAACTTCTCGCGATATTTCAATTTTTCGTTTTGTTATCATATTGTGGTATGGGAAGTTATATTTTTAGTCATGTCAGAAGAAAAGAGTTTGTTTTAAAAGATAAACAATTCGGAGGAACGGCGCGTGTTCAATCACTTGCTGAGATAAGGTGGGTCCCTTTAGTTTCTTGTCTCACTTAGACGTGGTTCATTCAAGTAATCATCAGGCGCGTGATCTCCGAAAGGCATTTTTGCTTTCCTTTTTCTTTTTAGCTTAATCTTAAAGCATTTTCCATATTTTATTTGGAAACAAGTATTACCATAATATTTAGAATAAGAATATTTTTAAATGTTTTTCTATTACAGGATGAGAAGAGAAAGGGAAAGTAACAATTAGAAGACTTCGAAAAATTAAGGTAATAGGATGTTTTCCAAATTTATGTGTGTATTTGAAATTTTTAAGAAATATTGAGGGATATTTAATTTATTCAAACTTGTTAATAATTCTACGCCCTAACTAAACAGAGGAAAAAATTATAACCATCACTTAAAATGGGAAAATTGCGGTAAAATAAGTAATATATTCAGTTCAAAGTGACTAAAATAGTAAAACAGTCAAACAATAAGCAATAGAATAAGGTAGATATCTTTGTGCCAGATTTACTTAATAACGGGAAGCAAATAAATTGCATTGATAAAATATCTTAATTTAGATGAGAATTGACTATCACAAGAAAATAAGACTTTTTAAGTTAATTCAGTAAATATGCATAGAGATTTTTCTATAAACAACCAAATCTAGAGCATCATGGTGAATAAGGTAAGAAGTTGACTAAAAAGTAGAGTAGTATTTTTAATGCATGTCCAAAAAAGAAAAAGAAATAAGGATTTGGTTATGTGGCTGAATGGAAGGAAAAGAAAGTTAGATTTTTCTATAAACAGCCAAATCTAGAGCAACGTGGTGAATAAGGTAAGAAATTGAATATAGTAAGTATTTTTAAATGCATATCCAAAATAAGAAAAAGAAATAAGGATTTGGTTATGTGGCTGAATGGAAGGAAAATAAAATTATTCATATCTCAGAATCTATGTGGATAACAATTCATAGTATGCAAATACTTGTACATCAGCCTGCTAATTGCATGAATTTTGACCTTTTCTTTCTAAATTTCTTTCTTGATATTGGTTCGTGGGTGTGATTTTGACAATGCTTGTTCTGATTTTAGGTTGATGAAGATAATAATGACATATTATTATTTTATGTGACGTAAATTTATGTATTATAGCGTTAAGATATACTGAGAAACACGTAAAGTCAAACGTTCAAATATATTTATGCAAGTTAAAATGTCTATAGTTAACAACCCCGTAAATTGAATTAGGGCCAACATTAATTTCAAAACCTTCCAAGTACACATCACTTAAGAAAGTGAAACATGTAAACATCAACTATCCACTAACAAAGAAATACTTATTGACTAATTGAAGACACAAACCACGAGCATTGTACAACAAAGCAAGAATAACTATAAAAAAATTTGCAATGGCCCACATAAGCGTAAGGATTAGGGCCAGGTGTAACTGAACACGAAATGCCACTATTTAGTGGTGGCAAAATGAGAAAAAAAAATAGTTTTTTATTTATATTATTCACTAAAAATGAATTTGTTAGTTTGAGTGTTAGTATAAATTACAGAACTTGGTTTTATACCGTGTTTCTTAAACGTGAAGTAAAATAAGCGGTTAAGTAAATACATCAATTTTTACGTGGAAAATCACCCGGCTCTATCACGACCCGGATTCCCACCCTCGGGAGTTGTGATAGCGTCTACTAGTACGAGCTAGGCAAGCCAATTAATTGCACAATTTATTTTTTTACCCATTTTATATTCATTAACAATTTCGAAATAATAACATTTAAACAGCGGAATGTAACACAAGCGGAAGAAAGAAACAATAAGCTATCTGAACATGAATATCCAATACAACTGTTTGAGTCACGACTACCCAGAACTAGTGTCACAGTTTCACAGACGGTCTAAGAATACTACAAATAAAGGGTCTGAAAGGAATAAATACAACACTGTCACAAGAAATGCAAGAAAAACAGGAATAGTAGATAGAAGGAGACGTCAAGGCCTGCGGACGCATGCAGGACTATCTCGAATCGCCTGATGATCAAGAATCAGCAATCTCACTGCGGTCCGAAATCCACAACACTGGGGTCTGCACAAAAGAGTGCAAAGTGTAGTATCAGCACAACCGACCCCATGTGCTGGTAAGTGCCTAGCCTAATCTCGGCGAAGTAGTGACGAGGCTAGGCCCAGACTACCAAATAAACCTGTGCAGTTATATGATATACAACGGAAAGTAAAGCAGAAATGAACAAGTAAAGATGGGAGGGGGAAACATGCTTCGGGGAATAACAGGTAAGAACAGATTATCAAAAGAACTATAAAGAAATCAAAATCCAACCACTAACAAGAGTAAGGAAAACAAAAGCAGATTTCACTTTCTTTTCACATCTTGTGGTAGGCGTACCACCCGCTCCTATTTCGTTACATCTTGTGGTAGGCATACCACCTGCTCCCATTTCATCATATTTTGTGGTAGGCGTACCACCCGCTCCCATTTATAATATTATTGTGGCGTGCAACCCGATCCACATATAATATTGTTGCGGCGTGCAACCCGATCCATATATAATATTATTGCGGCGTGCAACCCGGTCCATATATAATATTGTTGGAGCGTGCAACCCGATCCATATATAATATTATTGCGGCGTACAACCCGATCGATATATAATATTGTTGCGGCGTGCAACCCGATCCATATATAATATTATTGCGGCGTACAACCCGATCGATATATAATATTGTTGCAGCGTGCAACCCGATCTATATATAATATTGTTGCGGCGTGCAACCCGATCCATATATAATATTTACAATTATAACGAGAGCCCCGACAAGGGATCAATAAGGTCTACACTATCCCGGCAAGGGATTCGACAACATAGGTAAATACGTCCCGACAAGGGAGAAACAACTATAACCAAACTTGTTACGACATCTAACCACCTCAGCTATAACCAACCTCATTCCGACTCCTCAATGTTCATAGGTCACAATTCTTCCCACAACTTAACACAACAGATAAAAATCTTCACCAAGGCATGAATAATACAACAAAATCATGAAAATCACAATATAAGACTCACGGTCATGCTTGACACCAATGTATAGATACTCGTCACCATGCCTATACATCGTACTCAACAAGAAACAAATAGCAAATAGAACAAAACTCCTAATCCCTCAAGCTAAGTTTAGACCAAACACTTACCTCGATGCCTCGAACACAACTCAAGCTTCAATTATAGCTTTACCCCTTGATTCCTCCGCCAATTCGCTCGTATCTAGCCACAAGTTACTTAACTACATCAATAAATGCTAAATGAATCAATTTGAATGCATGAAAATGAGTTATCCAAAGTTTTACCCAAAAAGTCAAAATCGCCCCCAGGCCCACGTGGTCAAAACCCGAGGTTCAAACCAAAACCGGATTACTCATTCCCCCACGAGCTCAAATATGTAATTTGTTTTGAAATTGGACCTCAAATCGAGGTCCAAATCCCCAATTTTTGAAAAACCTAGGTTCTACCCAAAACACCCAATTTTCCCCATGAAAATCATTGATTTGAAGTTGAAATCATGTTAAAAGATGTTAATGATTGAAGAAAACTAGTTAAAAACGACTTACAATTGATTTGGAGAAGAAAGGTTGTTTGAAAAATCGCCTCTTATATTTTTGGGGTTTTTGAAAAATGCAAAATAACTGAAAATCTCGTCTATTTATACCCCTCTCAGACACTCTGTGCGGACCGTACAAAATGAACTGTAGCTGCACAGGCCTTCCTGAGGTACTGCGGTCCAACGCCCTGTGCGGACCGCACGAAATGGACCGCGGCTGCATAGGTCTCCACCGCGCTCCGCATGAAACCGACCGCGGACCGCATTGGCCTCCACCGCACACCGCACAAAACTGACCGCAGACCGCACTGGTCCCCCTTCCGTGGTCGCACACGATTTTTTGCGGACCGCACTAGCGGGTTCAGAGACCTGCAACTTCTGGTTTTTAAGTCTAAAACATCCCGAACCTACCCGAAACTCACCTGAGCCCTCGGAACTCCAAACCAAGTGTGCATACTAACTCAAAAACATCATATGGACCTATTCGTGTAATCAAATAATCAAAATAACATCATGAACATCAAATTAAATTTCGAGATTAATAAAATTTTCTCAAAACTTCTTTAAACATAAATTTTGCAATTTAAGTCCGAATCACGTCATATGACATCCGTTTTTTACCAAATTTCACAGAAATGTATCAAATCATATATAAGACATGTACCGGGCATCGGAACCAAAATACGGGCCCGATACCATCATGTTCTAATCAAAATTCATTTCAAATTTCTTTAAACAATTCCAGAAAACAATTTCCTTTGAAAACTCGGGTTTGGGACCTCGAAAATTCGATTCTAGGCATACACCCAAGTCCCATATTTACGGACCCTCCGGGACCGTCAAATCACGGGTCCGGGTCCGTTTACCTAAAACGTTGACCGGAGTCAAATTAGCTCATTTTAT